GTTTTTGGTGTGCTTGGCCCGAATGGGAGCGGTAAAACCACCTTGCTGGGCATTTTGCTGAATGTATTGCTGGCCGATGCCGGTACTTATAACTGGCTGAACAATACCCCGCATGATGCCGCCCGCAGGCAGATCGGTTCACTATTGGAAACCCCTAATTTTTATCATTACCTCAGTGCCGATGATAACCTGGGCATTACTGCCGCCATCAAACAGCGCGGTGCTGATGATATTACTCGGGTGCTGGGTCTGGTAGGATTGCTGGAGCGCCGGAAAAGTAAATTCAGCACCTATTCGCTGGGGATGAAACAACGGCTGGCCATTGGCGCGGCCCTGCTCGGCAGGCCCAAAGTGCTGGTACTGGATGAACCGACGAACGGGCTTGATCCCGCCGGTATTGCAGAGATCCGTGACCTGATCCGTAACCTGAATAAAGAAGGCATCACGGTGATCATGGCCAGTCACCTGCTGGATGAAGTGGAGAAAGTATGTACCCATGTGGCTATTCTCAAGCGGGGTGATCTGCTGATCACCGGCTCGGTTAATGAAGTGATGCGTTCGGAAGATCAGATCGAAGTAAAGTCGGCCGATATGATTGCCCTTAAACACGTTTTGCAGCAGATGCCCGGCATTCTGCGTGTCACAGACAACGATGGTTACCTGCAACTGGCTTTCGACGGGGCGGCGATACAGCCGGCCGGTATCAATGAATACTGTGCTGATAGAGGCATTGTGTTGTCGCACCTGTTGCTTAAAAAGAAAAGCCTGGAAAGTAAGTTTATCGAGCTTACCCACGACGGCACTGTTTCCTGATCTCATCCCCCTCCATAATTTACCCGAATATGAATTCAATTCTTGCTATTGAATGGCTTAAAATAAAAAAGTACCGTACCTTCTGGGTACTGATTATCTTCTTCTTTGCCTTATTGCCGCTCTGGAATATTTTTATCTATAAAGGCTTTATTTCCTCCGGCCCCAAGGGCGGGATAAACTTTCTGAGCCAGGCTTATTCCTTCCCGTCTGTATGGGCGAATTTTGGTTTCTGGGGCAGTATTTTTATCCTCTTCCCTTCCATTCTTATGATCATCCTGACGGCCAATGAGTATGGTTTCCGTACGCACCGGCAGAATGTTATTGATGGCTGGAGCCGTTTGCAGGCATTTCATGCAAAGTGCCTCATGGTGCTGTCATTGTCCATAATATCAACTCTTTATCTTTTTATTACCGGCGCGCTGATGGGCATCTCGGTATCGGGCGGCACTGCCTTTTTTACCACCGATCTTAAGCTGGTTGGTTATTTCTTTTTGCTCT